AACTAAAATATTTTAAAAGGCAGGAAGTATTTGTATATCAAAAAATTGCACAATGGTAGTTTTGCTTCCCAGGAATGATCTTGGAGTATTTAGGGTTAATTATTGATCCTGTAAGAAAGTTCTCAGAACTAAGAAATATATAGGAATATATGTGATAAAATGTAAAAACATGGCTGAGTAAAAACATGGTTTGTTTTTTCTTTTCCCATTTAAATATTAAAATTAAAGTAATGCGAAGTTATATTTTTGGAAAAGGGCTCCAATACAGAAATTTATTTTATACTAGAGGCCGGGTGCATGAAAATTCATGCACTGGAGGGGTGTCCCTCAGCCTGGCCTGCCCCCTCTCACAGTCCTGGAGCCCTCAGGAGCGGGAGGCGACCCGGTTATCAGGAGAAGGCAACGCCCCATCACACCTCTGCTGCTGCCACTGCCATCAGCACAAGCCTCGGCCGGCCCTGGTTACATGAGCCTCGGACAGCTGGGCAGCTGCCATCTGAGGCTTGTCTGCACCTCAGGCCAGCCCTGGGCAGCTGGGGGCTAAGGGGACTGGGGGACTCCGGAGGCAGGTGCACCTGCTGCCCCAGCAAGGCTGAGGGGACTAGGCACCTCCATCTTGTGGCTATGGGCACCTCCATCTTTGAGGGCATGGCAGTCAATTTGCACATTCCCTCCTTATTGGCTGTGGGCACTGCCATCTTTGAGGGCATGGCAGTCAATTAGCACATTCCCTCCTTATTGGCTGTGGGCACTGCCATCTTTGCAGCCTGCTGCTCAGTTGTTTGGTCGTCCCTCACTAACCCCCCTGCTGGCCTCTAACCCCCCTGCCTGCCTGGTCACCCCACGCAGCCTGCTGCTCAGTTGTTTGGTTGGCCCTCACTAACCCCCCTGCCGGCCTGGTCACCCCATGCAGCCTGTTTGGTCAGTCGCTTAGGCTTTTATATATTTAGATAAGCAGTAAGCTAAGCAGGCTTTAGTACACAAAGAGAAATAGGAAAAGATGAGCTCCTTCTGAAAATCAGTAGGAGAAATTATCTTTCTCATAAAAATTTAAAGAAGATATCTTTGGTATCCTCAATTTATTTTAAGGTAAAGCAATCTATAAAGGTGAAAAGCTTCTATTATAATAAAGATCAACTAACTCTAGTTATATCAGCAGCTACCCAAAATGAAAGTTTTTTCTTATGATGAAAAACTCAGGTTATTTTTTTCCCTACTAAAATATCAGTATCTGTAGTTTTATGCTGATTTGTATCCAGTTTGGATAGAAATGGATATGAGTATTTATCTTACATAATAGCTTGCACAGCCTACTACTTGATGGATGTAGCATATGGAAAATGTGTTTAGCTCCTTGTAGAATTTCACCAGCCAAAAAAGGATCCATTTCTATTTGCATGGTCTGTTTACAGTCATTTTAAAAATATGTTACTGTGTTGCTTCCTAGTTAGAAAAAGCAAATGTTGGCACATTACAGACTCCATTACATTGGTCTTTAGGAAATATATGTATTGCTTTCCAGTTAATAAAAAAATCAACAATAATCACACTTCTTGTGCTTTCAACCTAAACATTCTCTTTAGGATGTATTTTTATTCCTCCACATTATCTCTCTCCTAGATATTTTACAGGAGTATGGTTGAAATTTTTCATACTATATTAGAGCCTATGTTCATGCTTAAATGAATTGTCATGAAAGGATTAATCCTGCAACCTTTATAAGCATATTTTATTAATGTCATCTTATCCTTAAATAGAATATTAATAATATTAATGATATTTAACATTTAATAACCATAGAATGTTAGGTAGAAATGTGTTTCATGCCAATGACTTTCAAAAATGTACAGAAGTCACTGTAACAGCATGATAATCATTAAACATGCTCTACATAATATATTAATTGCACTAGTACAATTCATTTAGGGGGCATTTCTGGATAACAAGGGTGATAATATTTTTGACTCTCAGCATGCTGAACCCTCAAGGAATGGAAGTATTTGGTAGAGCTTTTGAAAATATATATTACATTCATAAGTTCTGGAAATATATTTTTCATGAAATGATTTACAATTGAACATGGATAAAGGGGAGAGAATTCAAAATATATATATATATATATATTATGAAAACTGATTAAATATAGTTATTATACTGATTTATTTTTATTAGTAAGTCAGTAGAAAAATAAATCAGTATAATAACTGTGATAAGGAGTTCTTGTTAAAAGATTAAATAATTAAAATACATTTTAAACTTTTTATCCTTGAAATACCTTAACTATTAAATCATTTGTGTTACTATATATGTTTGTTTATTTTTTAATATATTTTATTGAATTTATTACGGTTACATTGGTTAAAAAATTGGTTTCAAGTGTATCATTCTATAATACATAATCTGTACATTGTATTGTTTGTTCATCACCATAGTCTTGGCTCCTTCCATCACCATTTATACCCCCTTTACCCTCTTGTGCCTGCCCCCATTCCCCTTCCCTCGGATAATCAAATGCTGATGTCTGTGTCTGAGTTGTGGGGTTTTGTTTTGTTTTGTTTTGTTTTACTTAATCCCTCAACTTATTTCACCCAGCCTCCCAACCCCTCTCCCATCTAACAGCTCTCGGTCTGTGCTCTGTATCTATGAGTCAGTTTCTATTTTGTTTTGTTCATTAGATTCCACATATAAGTGAAATCATATGATATTTGTCTTTCTCTGACTGGCTTTTTTTCAGTTAGCATAATACCTTCTAGGTTCATCCATGCTGTCTCAAAAGGTAAGATTGTTCTTCCTTTTTATGGCTGAGAAGAATTCCATTGTATAAATGTTCCACTGCTTTTCTATCCACTCATCTACTGATGGGCACTTGGGCTGCTTCCAAATCTTAGCTATTATAAACAGTTCTTCAATGAAAATAGGGGTAGAAATATTATTTAGAACCCATGTTTTGGGTATTTTCACATATATTCTGAGAAGTGGAATCACCATCATCATAAGGTAGTTCCATTTTTAATATTTTGAGGAAACACCACACTGTTTTTCACAGTGGCTACACTAGTCTGCATTCCCACCAACAGTGAACAAGGGTTTCCTTTTCTCCACATCCTGGTTAATACTTGTTGTTGGTTGATTTATTGATGACAGCCATTCGGACAGCTGTGAGGTGATACCTTATTGTAGTTTTAATTTTGCATTTTTCTGATGATTTGATATTGAGCATCTTTCATATGTTTACTGGCCATCTATATGTCCTCTTTGGTGGGGTGTCTATTCAGGTCCTTTGCCTATTTTTTTAAATTGGATTGTTTGGTTCTTTGTGGTTTTGAGTTGCATAAATTCTTTAAAATTTTGGATATTAATAAAGAAATAATTACCAGGTATACCATTGCCAAATATATCCACCCATTCAGTGGGTTGTCTTTTCATTTTGTGGATGATTTACTTTGCTCTGCAAAAACTTTTTAGTTTGATGTAGTCCCATTTGTTTATTTTTTCTTTTGTTTCCCTTGCCTGAGGAGATGTATCAGAAAAAATTATGAGAAATGTCTGAGATTTACTGCTTATGTTTTCTTCTGGGATTTTTATAGTTTTGAGTCTTACATTAAAGTCTTTAGAATAGTATATTGAATTCTATTACCCAGTTTCAACAATTACCTAATGGTCAATCTTGTTCTGCCTATACTGTCCATAACTCCACCCTCCTTTTCATCTAAAATATTTTGAAGCAAATCCAAACTCGCTAACCTTTCACTTATAAACATCACTGTGTGTATTTCTAAAAGATAAGGACACTTTTAATAAACATATTGATACCATCATCACACCGAAAATACAAACAATTCCTTAGTATTAACAAATCTTCAGTATTCAATTGAACATTACTATTCATTTTTTAGTTTGTTTGAATAAAGACCTACTTTGTCACTGGTTGACATGTTTATTTTAGTCTAAAGCAGGAGTTCTCAATCAGGGGGCAATTTGGGCCTGTAAGGGACACTCTTAGCAATCTGGAGACATTTATGATTTTAACAATTGCCGTAGACTAAATTTTTGTGTTTTCCCAAAATGTGTATGTTAAGATCCTTACCCCAATGTGATGATGTTTGAAGGTGGGGCCTTGGGTAGTAATTAGGTTAGGTTAGGTTAGGTTATATGTGTGGGGCCCTCGTGATGGGATGAATGCCCTTATATAAAGAGAAGACAGAGGGCTCTCTCTGTGTGCACCACCAAGGAGGCCATGTGAGACTATAACAAGGAAGAGTCCTCTTACCAAGAACCCTGGTGGTCCGAACTATGCTGGCATTCTGATCTCAGGCCTCTAGCATTCAGAACTGTGAGAAGTCTATGGTATTCTGTTATAGCAGCCCAAACTGACTGAGACAACTAGTGGTTTGCAGTGAGTGGAGGCAAGGGATATTGCTAAACATCCTACAGTGCATAGGACAACTGCCACAATAAAGAATTATCCAGCATCAGATGTCCACAGCACAAGGTCACATAACCATGGTCTAAAGGTTCCTCCTTCACCTATTTTTTATTATAGTGTATTTGTTAATAAACTGGATCATTGGTCTTTTAGAGTTTCCCACAGTCTGTATTTTGCTAATGACACACTGTGATATCACTTAACACATTTCTGTGTCCCTCGTATACATTAGCAATTAGATTCAGAATCTTCATCAGATTCAGATGCAGTATTTTTAGCAAAATGCTTTATTTTGTTTTATCAATAGTGTGGTGTACTTCCATCAGGAGATACATAATGTCTGGGTCGCTCTCTCTCATCACTATGGGAAACTTTTGATGATCCGTATTTATATCCCTGAATTCATTAGAGGTTGAAAAAAATGATATTTTATAATTTTATCATTTCTTTACCTATCACAAATATCACTATGTCTTAAATATTTGTTACAATGTTTGATATACAAATAGCACTGCACATGAATCACATGAATCACTTACACGTTTCTTTTTTCTTTTTTTTTTCTTTTTTTTAGAAACATCCTGTACCACCTTGATGAGAAGACAAGCCAGTTTTCAATCCTCCTGGAGGCTTGGGAGCGCTGCAAGTCTCTTGCATCCAATGAGACTTTTCAAGAAGCCCTGTCAAAGGTGTTGCACAGCATTAATTCAGCTCAGGTTTACTTCAAAGCAGGACTTGATGTGTTCGACAGTGTCTTGGATGGGAAGAACTGAGAAAACTCTCAGCATCTTAAAAAGTTTGTTTACAATTCCTTAAGCAAAAGCTCCAATCTGATAGACTTTCTGACATTGAAGACTTCCCACCCCCCTGCCGCCGCCAATGGCTTTTTATACAAATCTAAAGCTATTATTAGATTGTATTTTTAATAGACATATATAAAAAGAGCATTTGCACAATTAATATTTTTCATATATCTGCATTTCTGAATATGCAAAAGCAAGTTATTGAAATAATACTTAAGATTTATCTATTAAAAAGAAATCTACTGTATTTTTATATAGTATATATAAAATATTTGGGGGGAAGCGTTCCAAGAAGTTTTGGACAATCTTCGCTCCTATGGATAAAGCACATAGGAACAGAAGTTGTTCCTTATGTTAGAGCATTTAATGACCTACTTTCTGCAATAGAAATGGAGGGTTGATATGGTTGCAGATTAATTCACTATTAAGTATTCATTATGAAGAATTCAAGTATTCTGACTGAGTGATTGGTTGACCAAACCCACTTTGAATGTTTCTATTTTATGAAATGAAGTGCCTGTTCATAACACAACTAGATGTAGTAATACACTGGTTATGAAATTGTATTTTTGTAAGTATTAATGAAAAAAAGAGCCATAAACATTCCAGGGAAAAATCTCCAGGTAGCTGCACAGATCAATTTAAATGCAAATTTCTTCTAACAACTTATAAGGTGACAAGCTTTGAAACCCTTAATTTGCCTCAGTTGATTTTGTAAAAATCCAGGGGTGATATATGTCTTATGAGGGTGACAATATTTCTAATTTCTTCTTGTGCTGTTTCTGTTGGAAGCCCTGAAACAGAGCTATTTTAAAATGAAAGCATCTCACATTCTTTGAAAACCCCAAGTATCTTAAAAAGCATTAAATTGCTATTTTTGCCACTGACATAAAGGACTTACTATGAAAGAAATAGTTGTTTTGATCAATGGAAAAAAGCTCCTGAAATCTATGAGGAAACGTTCAATATGTTTTTCTTTTTTATCCTTAGTTGTGACTAAGAGTGAACATAGATATAATAGTCATAATCCTAATTTTATGCAGAAAAAAACAGTGCCGCTGTGTGAATATGTCTTTCCCACACTTCAATTATTTTCTCTTGTGGAAAATAAAACCCTTAATAGTGACATTGTCATTGACTGGCCCTGACATCCAAGGTTCCCCAACACCTTAGAATTCTGTTAGGTGACAGTTTAAACTTTTAGCTTGCCCTTGGGAATTGATTTAAGTCTTTTTCTTCTGATACTGGATAAAGGAAATCCCCTGAGGAAACATATTTTCAGAATATTTCATGTGACTTTCTTCTCTATCCCAGCACAGTAAACACACTTCCCCGTTATACACGGCCACAGCAACATTGCAGACAGCACCTGTGTGTCTAAATCTTTGCTTTTTATAGATGAGCATAAACCTAATCTTAGTGTAAAGGAAACCTAAAGTTGAGGGGAAAGAATTAATCAGTATTGATTAATTGATTTATAAGGCTCGGCTGTTCCTACCCTAAGTAATGTTTATATGCTCAAGGCAAAGAAGAGAATTGAGGCAATTAGCCAGATAATTCAAGCAGAAATCCATTTTCATCTGAATTGCCTGTGTGCACATAGTTTTACATGAGAAATGAAACTGCTTGATTTTTTTTAAAACCAATATACTTGTTTGTTTGAAAATATTTGCCATGTTCAGGAAAGGACTGAAGGACCAGGCTGCCGCACACCTCAACATCAATGTCCCTTGCTCCACGGAAATCAACAGCGAAGAAAAGATGAGAATATACATATGGACATGGGTGGCGCCAAATAATAGAATGCCTTATACTCAAGGATCTTAAATATTTAATCAAGCTTTAATGCATTCATTCCAGTTCTTAATTTGGGGTTGAATTTAAAGCAAAGGCAAATAAGGATCAATTTTATAGTTTATCAGTTTAGAACAAAATTCTGAGTAAATTCACTGTCTTAGTCTGTAAGAGCATTGAAAGCACACATTTTTTTTGTTTAATGATAGTGTACTTGGGTAAACCACACTACACAGATAAAAATCTCAATATTATGTATTCTTCACTTTGAAGTTATATATTTGATATATCATATAACATATAGAGAACTGAAGTTAACTGTGGAATAACACATTTTATTAGTCTACTTAAGAGATGTGAAGAAACTAAATTATAATTAAAATATATGTCCACCAGTTTTATACATGCTGCTCTATATATTTGACTACAACAGACTTCTTAACCAAGAACATTATTGTTATGGTCTGATTACCTCAGGGTTCCACCAAATTTATATTATTCTAATTTTTCCCAATAGATCCAAGTAAATAAAATCCTATGCAAGTGTTTTTGGTGATTTGGTAATAGGCTTCAATTCTTACTGAGATATCTGGGTGCCTGCTAATTCTCACACTCTTTCATACATAGAATTGTGTCTAGATGTAATAAACCATAAATGGTTATTCTGCTAAGAAAATGTGCCAAATCTGCATCACTGGTACTTGGGCTCAAGAAGGGTACACACTGTCCTTTGTGGAAGAGCACGTATTCTGGAGTCAAAAGGAAGCGTAAGAGACATTTTGGTCTAAGCCCTAAGATGTTATCTTCAGCCAGGAAAAGCATTATCATCCTATGGGCTGCAATACCTGAAGCCAAAGTGATTAAGGAACTTGGATAGAGTCACATAGCTAACTAGTAGCAAAAGCAACACTGGAATTTACACTTCTCTGCTTTGAAATGCAGTAAATCTAGCTCCCTCCTTGAGATGCTAGGGTTATGAACAATCTTTCAGTGCATCCTCAGAAAGCAGCCATTCTTCCAAATGCTGCATATACTGGAGTTACTGCTCTAATGAAGGACTAGCTTATTCTCTGACTCTACCTGACAAATAAAACCTTCCTAGGCAAAGGATTGGGTACTCAGGAGGAAGTGGGGAGAGCTTCCACAGGACAAAAGAAGTAGGAAGGAGGACATTGAGTGAAATGCTTTTATGAGAACATATTTTAGCTCTGTATTAAATCAGGAAGCTAGATCGCTATTTCTCAAAATGTGGATTTTAGGGTATGAGGCCTAGCCATCTTCATCTTCAGCAGGTTTTCCCAGATGATCATTATGAACTCTGAAGTTTAAGAATTTCTAATCCACATCAATCCTGGCTCCTGAGAAAGCATTACTTGGCAGCATATCTAAAGCAAACAAACAAAAGCAAAACACAACTGAGAGTCACAACAGGAGGTACCTGAAGCTTTGCTATTAAAGGAGAGAGTAAAAGTAGCCATTGTATTTCTCCAAAAAGGATGCAGACACAGCTAACATCTGTGCCTGCTACTTTTGTTCATTGAGTCCTCACAACAACCTATTTTTTTTTTAATGAGCAAAGTTAACTGAGTGACTGGTCGAATGTTCCTTATGATGGTGGCCCACCAACCAAACTATATGTGGGTAGGTTAGAAAATATCTATAAGAGTATTAAAAATTAATACACCATTGTAGACAATCATAACAACTAGATGTAAAATAAAAATTAAAAAAAAACAGAAGCCTTACATTACACAATTTTCTCCTCAAAATGCCTATATAATTTCATAGGGGGGGAAATAAAGCAAGTGCTTGAATTTACAACCAAAGTTTTATATTATCCTTAAGAGCTTAGAATCACTAATTGACATTTTAACTTAAATAAATATAAGTATGAGGTAGGTTTCCCTATTGCAAAGATAAATGTTATAAAACTGAAATAAATGATGATTTATTGCCAACTGCCTAATGATGAATCAGCATCTGTGCCTCAAATGAAAAACTGTAATTATTTACACAACAAATTGGTAGACCTAGCCAAAAACGCTCTAAGAGGCACTGTGTGGTATGCGTGATTAACTACTGCAAGAAGTAAGCTTTCTCTGAGGGTAGCACATCGTCATCTCTTTGATGTAATAGGCTATTTAACTGCGTCTTAGTCATATTTTCTTAATAGAAAGGAATTACTTTAAACTGTCAATCCACGTGTTGAACAGAAGTGAAATGGTCCACATATTCCAATAAACATAACAACATAATCGTTTCATCATAGGAGCACAGAGGAAATCAAGGGGGGTGGGGAACAAAGAATGTGATAATTATGAAAAATATTCTGCCTAACTGCAGTAGTGAGTCTTTATTTCTTCCATATGCTTACATTTTGAGCTTAAAGAAATGCTATTCTGAAAGATCTTAAGAAACTTCAGAGTTCTAAGCACTCCATTGAGTGCAAATATTTTTTAGTTAAGTGGATTCGTTTATGAAATTCGAAATTGCAAGTGATATGAATTTAACAGAAGAGTTGCAAAGAATTTTTTTAAAAATCTAACCTTTCGTGATCATCACCATGTCCACTCAATTTTGTGTTTCCTCTTTCTAGATATACTTCAGCAATTAGATTAGGCTCTTTTTCCCCCAGAGAGTAATTTTAAGATCTACTGGACTCAATATGCATGTATCTGTAAATCAGCCAGAGTCTTATTTCCATGACATCTTTTCATTATCCTCCGAAGATGTGCACTGAAGAGGCTTTAGCACACCTGGGACTGCTGAGAATCTTGAGGCCTTGCTTGTTATAAGATGACATATTTCTTAAAGACATTTATAATCTCATATTCAGATTGTATCTGAATTTACAAAGTGAAGGATTAAACTGAGGCACTTTCAAGTAGCACTCAAGAAAAAGAAGCTGCTTCAAATTTTAATGTTTCTGGTTAGATTATTTTTGGTATGAAGCATATAGTTATATAGTTTTCTGTAACCAAACTGGTAATTTTGATGTTTTCAGCCAAACTCCAATCATTGAAGCCAAAGAAATGCATGACTACTCTAATTTCTTAAGTAGGATGCTGTCAAGAATTAACTCAGGATCAGCTGATTCTAGACAAAGATTTGATGAGTGTAGACAGAGCCCAACAGTATTCCAATTCCTTTGATGTCTTAAGCCAGTAAGTACTGAGGTAGCTTTTCTCAGAGGGAGGCAGATTTTGTTTTCCAGGGGCTAATTAATATGCACAACCTCAGTCCCCAAAGGACCATACAGGTGCCTGTACTATACCATATGTCATGTGCTATATTCCAGCAAGCTCAAGAGATTAATATACAATCATTATCATGAATTATTATGTTGCATTGAAGTTAATGTCGGTCTTTTGTTCTAATTAAAGTATAAACTTGGCATCTGAAAGACGTTTAGCTAGAGAAGTGCAGTTAGAGTCTCTATTTTAATAAATTACATATATTTTTCAATCAAAATGTGTAATTATTTAATTATCTAGACTGCTCAATAAGTAAAATTCTCCAACTCCTTCAAGAATCTTTATTCATATGTTAAAAGCAGATGAACACTACTTGGAGTGTATTTTATCATTTTAAATTCTTAGCCATTGTTGAATCATGCTTTCAGTAGATGTGATAGTGTTTTCTTAATATTAATGACAATTATTTGTTTTCCTTTATATCAAGCTGCTGCAAATGGACTACCTTGTTTTGAAAGTCAGAAAAAGATTATTACTCTATAAAGACAATTTTATCATGTCTGTTTAACAAGAAACAAACAAAATGTTTTACTCCACCATTGCAAATTATTTGTAGGAAACAAAATGTCCAGATGGTTATGTGTAGTTCACCTGATTATATTCCAAAGATATTATAAATAACTCTGTTCAGAAGCTGAGATAGGACTCATTTAAGTGATTTAGTATTTAGATTTCACACAGAAAGGTTTAATGGCAAATATATCTCACACATTCTAACACGCTACTTAAAAAATATGAATAGAATTTGTATTCTGGAAAAAAAATTCTTTAGAACATTTTGAAGGGCTAATTTGTTTTTATAGACATCTAGAAAAACAACATCATTTAAATAATAGTTTCATATATGTGTTTGGGATGTTAATATATACCATGCATTTTTTCAATCATGTCTACAGTGTAGTAATATTTAATTCTATTCAATTATATAATAAATAAAATTTCTCATTTGTATAACAATAAAAAAGACAGCCATAAAATAAATAATGTGATATTTAGGAGAAGATTTATAAATGAATTTGGAGTAAAATTTGGAGGGAAATCTCTCCAATTAAATTTTCTTTGGTTAAAAACAAATATCTCTGAAAGGTGTCTCAATGGCTAAATTGCACTGTGTTGAATATTGTTCAAGATAATTTTATTATTATCTGTGATTCAGAAATTTCCATTGTAAAGAAATGTTCATGGTCATTGTCTTTGTTGTGATTCATTGTTAATGTCATTGATTGAGAGGCATGTGTCTGTAGTTCTGTAATTACTATATAGAAGTGAATGTCTACTCTCCATAATGTGTGGTGTCTGTCAGGAATTTAGTGTGTTCTATAGTTAGCCCAAGTGTGATCTCAATTTATTTTGCAACTTTTTATATATTACTCAAATGACTCGAATTGCAGCTGATTTAGGAAAGTATTATGATTTGGAGTGACAAAAATTGGATTGGAATACCACATACATTAAGAATGAGTGAATATTTTATTCACTTGCTTAAATATTTGCACATCATTAAAAACATAGTACTATGAAATGAAGGCATCTTTTAAGAAGTATGTTCTAATTCATAAATGCAATGAGTATGTACAATGAAATGGTAATATTTAAAACACTCATTTAAAATATTAAATGCAGATGAAAACCACTGCTATGCTGTGTTTTGTTATATGATATATAGTATTTTAAATATGCAAAATTAATTCATTATTAGTATGTATTATTACTGAATTATTTTTATGTAGCATCTTTTTACACCCAAACAGGAATACGCCTTGTTCAGGAAATATTCTATGAGATTTATCGTGTATTTCTTCTTTGCCTTCCATTCTTCTCTCAAACATGCACTTTTCATTTCTTTCGTCTATTATTCTCATTTCTTATGTCCTCCCTTGCCAGTTTTGGTGGTGGATACCTGTGTGTTCGTTGTGCAATTCTTACTAGTTTTCTGGATTAAAAATAAAATCCTCAAAGTACCATAAAATCCTCAAAATACTATAAAATCCTAATAAGCTGGTCTTATCCTGCAGCCCAGTTATAACCACTAACCTAATCTGACTTTTAAATGACATAATTGTGTAAGCACAGTCTCTTTCTTCTCTCCTACTTCAACTAAACTAATCTTATAGAGGTAGAGATTCTTACTAGGCACAGGGCATTCTCTGATATCCGAATGCCCACAGATACTATTCAGTGCAGCTTTATATCTTGCCCAATTTGCTCCTCTTGAATTCTTCCCTATCTCAGTAGATACACCAGATTCTCTAACCAAAAACAAGAATCATCTTTGATCCTTTCATTTTTCTCTCTCCCACATCTAATGTATCAGCAAGGTGGGTTGTCTCTGCTGCACATTTCTCCATCTCCACTGGTACCATCCTACTCAACGCCCACATCTTCTCACCCCTGCATTGCATGCAGCATTATAACTACTTCAGGCAAAGGCTATTTTAAAGCAGGAAAATGAGTACACAAGTATTGAAGGGCTAGGTACACAAAGAAGTGAAGGTACTGTTTCTCAGAGATCAGTCACTGCAGGAAGCAGCTACTGTCCTTAGGGCTGGAGAAGCACAAAGAAGGAAAGCTGTGGTAACCCCAGGAGCCAACATTCTACTGACACTCCCAGAACTTTGTTGCTGTTGCTGTTGCTGATGCTAGTGGAAGCACTGCTCAGGAGGCTTAAAGAATGAGGACAAGGCTGATCAGAAGCCTGGGAGCCTGCACTCCCTCTGCTTCCCATACAAGAAGCAGAAACAACAACAATCAAACCCCCAAAAGACTTCTGTGAATGTGAGGACAAGAAAAATGCCTCTTTTTCCTTGCTGTAACCTTCCACAATTTATGAGAAGCACCCAGGAAGTAAACCCCAAGGTTTTTAGTTTCTCTGGTTATTCAAACACCTCTGTTCAAACTGCAAGACAAGCTACTTACAAGGCTACATTCTTGTATACACCTCCATCCTTAGCGGTGGAAGCATCTGTACCTTTTCCTTAGAAATCACTACATTTCTACTTTAAGAAGTGTGAAAAACACTTGTCCAAGAATAATCATTCCTCTGCTACATATAGCCCCAGTGGGGTATCTGTCCCCATGTTTAAGCAATGAGTGCAGGAACTTGGATCAGAGAGACAGAAGAGCATTCTAGAGCGGTGATGGCGAACCTATGACACGCGTGTC